CCCCCCCCCCCGCTTTAAGGAGTTTAGATCATGGTTCGAATCATGCGCGTATACTTGGCAACCTAGGAGCTGCTGACGCAGAGATACACAGCGTCGGCTAAGAAGCGCATTCTTGCTGGAGAGGTCCAGCAAATCAAGACCTGAGGGCTTTTTTAGTAGTTGAACTCTTGAGGGCTTTACGAAGAACAGGTTTTTGGTAACCACATAGAGTTTTTAGGCACCACTGCAAGGGATTATGTATGGATTCTTCTGGTGTACATAAAGACTTCATTCAAAATACAAGGATTTCTTGACAACCCAACCCATAAAAACTAGGACCCCATCAAAGTCATATGATAGTCACAAGTTTAATGTTGGGACCAAATTCCCTTATTGTTTACCCTTCTGATAGAGAGCACTACCAAACCAAAGGGAGTATCAGCTTACACTATATTGCAGGACTATTATATCCTTGTTAAATTACTTGTCACCATGCCGTTGTTCACATCAAACCCTTCGGAGGAACAGCTCTCATTCTTACCACTGCGTGCATTCCTATCCATGTGTCCCCGAACGTGGACCTCAATTTGGACGAACTGCCCACCTGGCGGATCACATGGGCTGGCCGAGAATCTTACCTCCTTGGCGTGAGGACGGGCCTCTGACTCACAGAGGGGCTCTTTGCCATTTGTGCCCGATGCGCAGCCAGAACTTCTGTTGCTTGACAGCAGCACCTCGCTGGAGGATGATGGCGCCCGAGTTGACGCGTGGCTCCATCCACATTGCTGCCCCAAGGCTGGATCAAAGCCGGCTGCATTCTGTTGCTCAAGCAAACTCCCCAGAGGTTCTGCGCAGTGGCTGCTCGACGCCTTCAACGACAAGCGTGGAGTCAGATCCGCTGTCGACAGCAAACTCGGAGCGGAAGAGATGCTTGCATGCAGCTTGTGGCTCAAGACATCACCAGGGCAGAACTCTGCATCTTTGGGGACGTCGGGAAGAAGTTCTGCTCCTGAAATCACAGAGAAGGCAGAAAAAAATCCAAGCGCGAATAAAATCACAAGGACAGTCCGACATCTGCAGATTGGGGGAAGGCATGCGTGCAAGGTTGCCAAACATGTGTTGGGGTCCACCGTTGGAAGGCCACAAGTTCGAGGAACATCCCCAACTTTACCGTGATGAAGGTGATCCTGACATTATAGGCCTTTTGTGAAACAGCCACCCTCGGCGCTCCTCGGACAACCTGCAGTAGCTCCAGCTCACGGAGTACCCTTCGCCGATGCAGCGGATGGGAAATTCCCATGCGGATGAGGTCCTCTTCCTGTACAGGAATTCACAAACTTGTGGGGGACCACATGAAGTGTCCCAGGCGTCAATTGAAATCTCTAGGCATCTAGTAGGCACAGTTTATCTGTGGGACATGTAAAGCTGATTTCGGCACTACTATGCTGGATCTTTCTTAGCTGTCTTCACATCTCTGAGCGCCATCCCAGATGTTCTTACGCTTAGGGTACAAGGCAAATAGCTTGCCCCTAGGTTCCCCTAAGTCAGCCATAAAAGGCCCTGACTATTTCTAATGACCGTAGGGGAACCTAGGACCCCTTTGACTCCGAAGATATGGTAGGTTGTCGACATTGTGGTCCTTTTTTGGGGTCCTAATTTCATATAGCTCTGCATGTTCAGGTTACCCAAAACACCATGACTTTTTGAAAGCCCTAAACCCTTATCTCTAAACCTTATAAATCCCGACATACCCCATAAATAATAACCTCTAGAACCTCCCCTAAACCCTAAACCCTAAACCCAAAACCAAACCCTAAACCCCTTAAAGGGCTGAAGATATCCTTCAGAACAGAAGAAGCCCGGTAGCTGCGAAGGGTGCATGCGATGATCGGCAAACCGCGGCCTGATAGCCACCTGGGAGCTATAGGATTCTAGGGTTTAGGGTTTAGGGTTTAGGGCTTAGGATTTAGGATTTAGGGCTTAGGATTTAGGATCTAGCGTTTAGGGTTAAAGGTTTAGGATTTAGGGTGCAGGGTTTACGTAGGGTTTATAGGGTTTAGGTGTTAGGTTTGGTAGGGCTTCTAGGGTCTGTAGGGCAAAGGGTTTTCAAAATAGGGTTTTGTAATGCTTGCCTGCTAGCTTCAGAGGGTTGATGTGGTATACAGAGTGTAGGGCTTATAGGGCTTTGAGGGTGCTTGGGGGCACCATAGGGTGCACAGGGTTTACGGGTGAAAGGGTTGATGGGTTTAGGGATTAGAAGCTTTGTAGAGCTCAGATATGTCATAGGGTTCTCAGGGTGTATAGGGCGTATACGCTTTATTGGTTTCGGAAAGATTGCAGGGTTTACAGGGCATCTAGGGCGTCTACAGTTTGAAGCCTGTACAGGGCTCAGAAGGAATATGTGGGTTACCCCTCGGATCGGAACCCTTGGGGTGTATGGGACTTCAAGCCAATCCTTGGGGTCCCTACTACGCACTCTATGGGGACAATTCTCGCTCGGGATGGTAAGGCAGATATGCTTCTTCGTCGCAAGCATAGGTGGGTATATTATGAAATACGGACTATTTATAATAGCCATTCTGAGCAACCAAAGGATACTAGATGGTTACAACTTTGGCTTTCCACTTTGGAGTCGCAAAGACAGCAGAGGAGACCTTCAGAAGATGGAAACTACTGCATGGAGGCGCGTGGTCAGTAACAAGCAAGGGTTAAATCCACGTGTTTTTTACGCACGCACATGTGTATGCGTGTGTGTATATATGTATATATACATGCTATCTCTCTCTCTCTCTCTCTCTCACTGACTCTCTGAATGTACGTGTATGTATGTGCACACACACCCCCAGCCCCCCCCCCCCAATGTCAGCTGGTTGGTTTGCGACCGCAGGCTTCTAAAAAAAGCTGAAGCATATGTCGACTCTGCTGCCTGGTCACTCGAAGGCGTCCAACTCTGTGCCAACTTGAGTCTCCGCCATCCAGGATAATGTCGGGGCTCTGAAAAAGAGCCCTAGGGGCCCATAAGCCCTAGGGGCCCATAAGGACTACAAACTACACTGAAAGTAGGACCCCTAAACCGTAAATCCTAAACCATAAACCCCTAAACCCTAAATCCTAAACCCTAAACCCCTAAACCCTAAACGCAGGCTCTGGTTCCTGGCCAAGCCTTCGAAGCCTGACTGTCTTAGTCAGGAGGCTGCGGGCACGGAAGCGGACAAATCACAGGGGTCCCCTGACAAGGGATACAGGGGTTCTATAGGGTTTATAAACGGGCTCTATAGGGTGATATAAGGATTATATAAGGTTTAAATGCGATTTATACGGGAGTCCCCGTACTAGGTCAGGTTCCCCAGTAACCCCTTAATAAGTAGGGGTTTAGGGTTTAGGGTAGGTTCCCCAGTAACCCCTTAATGATTAGGGTAGCCTTTCTCCGACTGTTTAGCTTTAAAATCAAAGGAAAGCGCAAAAGGGTACTACTGGGGTTCCCCTAGCAAGGGACAGGGTTATATGGGGACATGTAACGTCGCATGGGGATATATTGCTGCGTGTATATACGTACACGTATATATTCGTAGGGCTTCGTAGGATTTGGGGTTTCCGAAAATTAGCAATCCCTCATCGCAGTATAGTAAGGATTACAATTGTTTAAGGTCTATACTAGAGCGCCGAATGCACACGTTACTTGGAAATGGAGGGTGTGATGAGAAGATGAGCAGCATATGAGCTATAGTCTAAACTCCTAGTATCCCCCTTAATAGGCCCTAGAAATGATCCCCTATGAACGACCCCACCCTTGAGGAGTTTAGACCTTGACATGTCTAGAAAACAACAATGAGATGTTGTATGCAGAAGGTTTTGGGTAGCACTCCTCTCACTGACCGAGGAACTAGAGGAATTTGTCCCCAAACAGGAATCCCTCTTTCAGCTTGCAATCTTATAATTTCACGATTGACAGGCTCAAAGAAGTAGACATTTTGCGCTGAAAAGCCATGGGATGATTGTACACATTGTCCCACAGGAAACAGTATTTGGAATAATAATGGCAAGGATAGTATACTCCTATTGCAAGGGTTTGCAGAACTTGCTCAAATGTGCATCAGTCAAAAAGCACAGTTCCTTCGATGGTATCTACAAATCCCAGGGCCTCTACAAAGCCTTCAAGGATACCACGCCCACCCTAAACCCTAAACCCTGAACCCTAAACCCTGAACCCTAAACCTGAACCCTAAACCCTAAAGCCCTAAACCCTAAACCCAAAACCCCAAGGCCTGAACCTTAACTCAACCTAAGGGTCCTGAAGCCTTGCAGAGGCAGCGAGCACCGCCAAGCTACTACTGGCCGCTACAGCCGCCGAGTACTTCTCCGGCCTAGGCTTTGGGGTTTAGGGTTTAGGGGTTTAGGGTTTAGGGTGGTTTAGGGCTTCGGGCCCGAAGCTATTCCATTGGCGATGTAAGAGCTTAGGATTTTGAAGGATCTGGAGATGGAATGCTTGGGGATTACAGACATACAGTATGGACTCTATCAAGAGCATGCAACAGTTTTTGGGACTCCATGCGTGGGGCCCTGTTCCCTCGAGACCTCTGATTCCCGGGTCAGAAAGGTCTGGAATCATAGGATTCTGGGGGCTCGAGAATCATGTATGCCTCAAGATGTGGGGGCTTGCCCACAAACACCATCCCTTTTTTGAAGCGTCTAAGATTTACATGCGAGGGCCCTGCCTTCTGGACCCTCCCACATGGGCCGCTCTCAAATCATACGTAGAAAATTGGAAAATGAACCCCCATCATCCGTTAAAGCTCCCCACACAGCCCCAGCCCCGAAACCCTGAACCCTGGGGTAACCAAGTTGAGACTCCACCACATAACATGAACATTAAAGGGACAGTCCCCAAAGGTGGCTGTCCCATCCGCCCCTGCCCCACGGGGTTTAGCGTTTAGGCGCTGTTACTACTAGGATTTTCCCGGTATGTAGTCTCTACACTTTGGGTACTGCCCCCCTTCAGTAACAGTCTATATTAGGAGTCCTAGTCAGGGCTATATATAACCATATTAGAATTTCTTATCCAACTGTTACTGAGGGGGGGGCAGTACCCAATCTACACTCCTCATCATAATTCCTGCCACGCCTTCCTTTCTTCTGCAATCATCACTGGAACTAACTACTACAAACCGAAGCAACTGAATATCCTTAAGCCCTGAATGGAAACCCTGAACCACGAAGTCGGAAACCCAAACCCTACACCAAAATCTGACAAACCCTAGCCCCAAAACCCAAAAGATCTACATCAAACCCAAAACCCCCTAAAATCCAGAACCCGAAAACCCTGAAACCTCAAACGCCCTGGGCTACCGGCGGGCAATCACCAGATGCCAGGGAGTCCGCTGCCTCACTTATAATTAGGGAGTTTACCAACACAACTCTGAACTCCAAACCCTACCTTAGGGTGTAGGGTTTATGGTTTAGGGTAAACCCCAAACCCTAAACCCTGAATCCTAAAGCCTAACCCGAGAAGCCTTGAGGGAGTTTATCAAACCAACAATTCTTCATGGGTTCCCCGGCTACGCCCTTCTACACTACCCGCAATATTCCCGACTTACTTCGGGCGACTTAAGGATAACTAGGGCGAATTAAGGTTGCTGAACGGGAGGATGGAAACGGAACCTATGACTTATAGAACCCTGATCAATAGGGATCCCCCTGGCTCTCGCATAGCCGCTATCTATTCCTGGGCTCCCTAAGGGCCCCTAAGGGCCCCTAAACCCCTACCAAGGAAAGCAAGGGCTCCAAAATGTGGACCCCGTTTTGTGGGTGCTACAGAAAGGATCCTACATTCGCAGGGCGTACGCAAGGGTGCCCCATTTTGAAACATACCAAGACTGTAAAACAAACCTAGGCTCCTGAAAGCCCATTCAAGTTTATTGGTGGTTGGGACTTCGGGGCTGCGAGCTTTGTTGTTACTGTTATTACTATTATTAGTTTCGTGGATCTCATTCTGATGTCTTCCGTGAGGTACCATACTACAGGAATTATGGGACTTGAGGAAGTGCAGGTGTTCCTCCATCAAGAGTAGCGTGGACAAAGACAGCGCTTTGGGTTCAGGGTTTAGGGTTTAGGGTTGGATTCTTGTCCCATTGGATTGTTGTCTCTGGACATCAAGTGCGAGCCCAAAAGACACGACCTAGCATTGCCCAGCGTCTATCCCCAAAACCCTGGAAACGCTCTACGTTGGAACAAGGCAAGGTCGCGCACAAACCTCGGACCGTCAAGAGGAAACCTGACGCTCAACCATAGCCCATAGCAGTC